CTATCGAATAGCATATCGAAGAAGTTATTTCTCAATTTAACTGGTTTATCTCTATCGAACAAAGTAATAAACCAATCGGTATAATAGTGACAAACGTGCGTGCACGCAGTACAGAAGCACGAAACGTAAATTCGTTTCGGCTCCTCTTTCCTCCTTGCGACGCGATCATAGACAAAGCGCGCGCAAACCGGCAGCGTATGTAAATTATATGGCCAGGCAACGAGCGTGTGGTCGCATTACGGTCGGACAGGAAGCATAAATTTCGTTACGAACGCCAAACATAGTGTGCGAGAAGAGCGTGCGTAGGAAACGCCAGGACCGTTCGGCGTTTTCAGCAATCAACTCGTTCGATTCGTCGAATCGTTTGAAACGTTCGGTTAGATACGTTCGACGATCGCTTTCGTAACTCAATTCGAGCTTCGGTGGTGGTTGGATTAGGTGCTTGAATCACGTTCAAGCCGAAGTACTCTAATTTATGCGTATTTTACCTCTTTACAGTCGAATTTCTTATATGAAAAAATTTTGTTCTTTGTTTTTAATTGGGCTCGTAAGTTGCAAGCCTCTGTGGTAAATAGTAGCTTTTCCTATAAGCGATGCAATTTTTTTGACAGCCAAACGTTGGACATACAATGCAAGTTGTTACTGCGAATATTAAAGTTTCGTGTAGTGAAAATACCTCATTGGCAACTAAGTGATTGCGGATTTTGTCATTAGGTGGTATTGAAAAAATCCGCGATCACTTAGTTGCCAACTCAATAGAAGATTTACACGTTCATGCATAGACATTCGCGATTTATTATTATTACTCGTAGTTGGTAAAGTTGAAAAGCGAAGCTAATGATACTAGACATTACGAGAAGAAATATAACAAACGTATATATTCGGCTGTCCCAAAAAATTTCTTTTCTTTTATGAAGAAATAATAGATGCACAATATTTTTTGTTTTATTTTCCAATAGATTCTCAACGCGAGAATTGATTGTAATTTTAATAAATAAATAAATAAAAAAAAAAATAAAAAATTTTTCAATAGAGCAAAATGGACCATACGTAATCCAATAAAATAATATAAAACAGAAAATATTGCGCGTGTATTATTTCCTAATGTATTTATGTAAAATATGCTCTTTTTTTTTTTATTTGGTAGACTATTTACAATCAATTCTCATTGAGAATTATAAGTAAATTATGTAAAATATGCTGTATGCTTTTGTACATGGTTCTCAATCGTCGTGCGCGATTTAGTAATCTCCTGCAGTAAAATATTTTGTATAAAATAGAGTCCTAAGTTTCTTTATGCGTTATCGTATTTTTGCCTTCTTAGGTGTCTTCTGTATCTCGTGTTTTGCTCTTTTTCGTTTAATCATATAGAATACTGGGCGGACGCGAATCGTATGATTTCACCGGCAATTAATCGTAATAAGAAGGAACGTTTTAATTTACAAGGTTGTTTTCTATACGAAACACGATTCTCGCTCTTATCACGGAAAAGGAAAGCACGCTATCGTGACGGATAAAGTGATTTATACTGCCATGCTCGAAAGATTAAATCGCCCTCTGAACGTTCGACCACAAGGCTGCGAATCGATAAAAATAAAGAAAGTGGAATACGTTTCTCCGAATCCTCGACTATTCGTAGAAACAAAGAGTCTAATTTCTTTCTTTATCTTCCCCTTAATTAAAACAACGTTAAGACAGATTTAATTGCCTGGTCACTTAGCATATTTAGCTACACTTAACGTGCAGACTTCGCTAACTTTTCAACATTTGCATATCTCCGGCATGGATTGACGATAGAAATGAAACTTTATGCGAAACCCTGCTGTTCTGTTCAATGTACACGGAAGCATTTCATACTGTATCGCGAATCCCATGTTGTTAGAAACGAAATGGTAATCCATTAGGACAACCTTATTGTTACAACAACATTACAACAACGTTAAAGTTACGTAGATGGTACTGAACAATGCAAATGAAATAATTTATATGTCGTTTAAGCCGATTAAGTATAAAACTGTGAGTGGAAAAAAGAAATGATACAAAAGTTATAAATTAATCTATTTCATTATAGAATCGACAAATTTTCTCTTTGCAATAAAATTCAATTATACTGTAAAGTTTGATGTAATCTATATCTGTATTCTAATCATAATGAGAGACGATAACGTTCAAATTATTCAATAACGTAAAGTAATCGAAAAATAATTGCAAGTGGAATGTTACCTTGATGCAACCTGTAATGGAGGTTGAGACTATTTCCTGAGGAAGGTCTGCTCGTGGATCGATAAACAGCTTGTAAAATTAAAACTATAGTCTAGCTTCGTGAGTAACTCATCGTGCCTCCTGGTAAAGTAATTTGCCGTAATTAAAGTCGTATAATTGGGACAGATAGCGTCGTAATATTCCCGTGTCCCTTCGTACAGTGTGTTCCTCGTCGGAATCTGCTTTCTCTCTGTGTGTAACGCTAATTTCAGACCTTTTTTTTTCGAACCAGCTCGTTTCGATCTTGATCACCCTCCTTCGATGTTCCGTTTAATTACGGGCTTAATTGTGCGACAGCCAAGCCGCGCCGAAAGGTAAAACGAATCCGCAACGATTTTTCTTTCCGTTCGTCGATAAATTATCAGAGGAAATTGAATTTTTTTCCTTCCCCTTCTTTTTCTGTTATAGCCAAGCGGAAGAAAGGATCTCGCGAGATCTTTTTATCCGGTTCGACGAGAGACAGGGGACTGATATTTGATTCGATATTACAGAGAATTGTTCGAGATTTTAAGTTTCTTCTTATCGGATTTAATTAATTGGAGAAGATTTTCGTTAAGAAAATTTCTCTCTTCATTTGCAAAGTAGAAATATTAAGACAGTGAAAGCGAAAAATCGCTCGACACCGTTGACACAACTGGAATTCTAGATTTTCATTGTCAACGCGTAATACCGCGAAAGGCACGTGTATCAAATGACAAAATTATCAAACAAAAGTATATTTCGTAGCCTAGTAGTCTCACGTTCCTTTACTCTTCTCGTCCAAAATAAACCTGATACGCGGATCTGTGGCTTTACAATTTTTTGGGGATCTTTAGAATCTTGACAAAGAGAGGCGCGTGATTATAATGTTTCATGTATCTAGCCTTGGAATTTTTAAGATGTTTATTCCGAAGGCTTCGGCGATGTTCGAGCGAAAGAAGTTGGCAAGAAGCAAGTTGGTCGGCCACGAAATTCGTGTCTTTAGAAAGTGATCGTGAGCAACAGTTTGACAAGCGCACAAAGTGCTCGGAGGCATTGACTTTTCGAACTCTTTTCTCCCGCGGCGACCTCTCACCTTCGCAACTAGTTGAAATCGCTTGGCCAACGTGTACTGTTCCATCCAACAGGTTCGTGCTTTATCGTCGTTTCCCCTCGTGCATTCTTTTTTTTTACGACGGCCTTGCCTCGAATTTCACTATTCTTTCTATTTCTCGTGAGGTCCGTTAACTCGAAGCCTGGCTGAATGTTTATGAAAATGAGACTCGTAAACCGGTGGAAATTGCCGCTGAACAGAATTTAGACGTTGAAACGTCCATCTCGAGATAGCTATCTCGAGATCGTTCTGTTGCAACGATGAATTCCAGTATATAATCCTTTGCCACTTGAATTTTCTTCACTTACGAGACGTGATAATTATAATTTATAATAATAATCGATACGGCTTTTTCAATTTAACCCGTATTTATATGTCTATTATACAGGATGGTTGATAACTGGTGGTACAAGCGGAAAGGGGGTGATTCTACGCGAAAAATTGTTTTTTTAATTTCTTTTAAATTTTTCCATCGAGACGACGATCTACAGTGAGATCCGTTATAACGAGACGCGATAAAGTGCACGCGTACCGAGCGAAAATTCAAAGTCGATTTTCTCGAAAACAAAGCCTCGAGCGAAAAATTGTTATTCTATATTTTCGACTTCTTTTTTCGCGTAGAATCACTCCCTTTCCGCTTGTACCACCAGTTACCAACCACCCTGTATACTACTGCCAGGTAGGTGATCGCAGGATAATTCTTCTACTTATTCCGCGGTTCTTAATAACATCGTTTGTATTTGTCTAATTATTCTTTTGCTCGCGTGGCTGAAATAATAAACAGCGGTACAAAGTTGTTGTAACGATTGTAGCTGTATTCGAGAATCTGTTGAAAGAACCTCTTGGAACGTTTGGTTGGCAAGCGATACTTTGATGATTGGATTAATTGGGCGTGGAAAATTGGAAGTATTACAGTGGCATTCCTAAATTCCCTTGATTCTGATTTATACCTGCTGCAATATCTTCTATTAATCGCAAATACCGCTGATAAAATAGTATCTTTTTACGTTTTCATCGATGTTATCGTTAGTTTAAGAAAGTATCGTAAGTTTAAAGAGAAGATCGATCATACTGTCTGTTTCTATCAACTTGCAGCCTTTTTATCTGCGTCAGAATACAAACTTTTATCGTTTATAACGCGCACGTAGATATTGTGCGGTTATACCGTGCAGTTTCGAGAAGAATTTTGTAAAATACAGTGGTCTTTTCTATGTATAAGCTCTCTCAGAGCTTAGCAATGAAAAGCCTGATTTACCAAGACGCTGTTAGGTTTATTATTATAGCAGATGATTCCATCAAAAACAGACTCGTATCTTGTCTGTTGCACGTCACACTGTCTCCTGTTAATGGAACTTCCAAACATTTCGATCTTCTGCTTACTTATTCTCACAATCTTTCAACGTATCGCGGACTCTTGGACTCTCGTACTCTTCGGATTCCAATATTCGCAATTACAAATTTTTACGCTTGCAAGATCACAGATTCCAAGGTTTTTAGTTTCTACGTTCCCCGGGTCGTAGGTTCAAATTTTTAAATGTCCAAGTAGCTAGCCGGTGTCGCGCGTTTTCCAACCCTTTGATTTTCGAACTTACGCGCTTCTACGCTGCCGAACATCCAAATTTGTCCAATTCTCACGTTCCTATGCTTTCACAGCCCTTCGTTACGATCTTTTTCTCTTCCTCGACGTCTTTTTTCCTGGCTGTTTGGAGGCTGGTTTCCACGATTCCAGGGAATCGAGTCGCTCGTAAACTCGTGGGCTGGTCGCATGTTTCGTAGGAGTTTCATGGGATTTCGATGGATGGAAGGGGTGTCGTGCCGATGGTCGTCTGTTCTGTCTATTGGCGGTCGAACGCGTATGTTGCAGAAACGACAGCCGTAGGAATTAGGCTGCCCACGCTTATGTCGACGACCGTACCGAAAAAGCACGATAAAAGCTTTCTGGCCAGATGGGCACCGGTTGCGCAAGCTCTCTCGCTCTCTCGTTAGAGACAGATTTCTCAACATCTCTTTCCTCGTCCCGTTCATCTACATACACGAGATCTTCCTTTACAGAGACTTTCGACGAGCCACCATAAGACTTCTTTCGTGTTATCGTTACATCGTATGCTGGCAATGGTGGAACGCAGAATAATTACGTAATATTGCAAAACGCACTTGGGCGATCGGTATTTATTTAAACACCAAGGATATTCGCACTCCATTTTGGCTTCTTTTCGAAGCAAGTTTATCGTAAGTTTAAGATCGAAGGAAACTGTTGTTATTTCTATAGTCAGAGGTGGGATCACAATAGTTATTATTTTATTGAATGAATAAATTCATTACACCGTTGTGAGTCAAAAAACAAAAAATTTTTGTTTATAAAAAACAAAAAGACATCTTAAGCCTATCGATTAAATCTATCGATTGTAACTAGGATCGTCCTCTAGTTACTATTTCTTGTAACTAACGCATCTGCATATAGATGGCGAGCACGACAACTCACGTTGTCATTTTCGACAGAAACATTTCGTGCCACGTTAGGACGTAAAGAGAATCTTTTTAATCGTTAACGCTGCAACTGTTTTCACGTGTATTACGCGTGAAAATACAAAACGACCTCGAATTCGCCGTAATTAGTAGACTCTTTATTCGTCGTTCGAATTTCTTTCCCGTCCAAATTAAAAGGCTCGGAACTTGGCGCGTGGAAGTTTCGTCACGCGCGACGGGATTTAGGGTGAGAACCGTGGCACATGTTCGAAGGAAAACGAGTCGACCAGAAGATCGTGGAAAGATTAATTGCCAGCTGGGTCCCGTGCACGCGAAAGACGATCGCGCGTAGCCAGGATTTTCGGCGCGTCTCGCCGCTTTTGAGGCAAAGGGGGGGGGGGCACCTTCGATATATATCGTTCCTGGTGTATTTATGACTCGTGCTCGTTACGTGCCGCTTCGATGCATCGTACGCTTTACTTTAAGCTGCGTGGAAAATCATCGATAATACCTGGTTCTCGTCAAAGGCCGTAGAAATTTCTTTCGTCCACATTTTCTTTGATCCATATTCGCGAATTTTCCGCGAAACCAGCGTTTATCTTTCCAACATATGACAATTCCCTAAATATTACGCAACAGACCTTGGAATAGGTTGCTAATAGATGGCCCACCATTTGTTCTGCCGCGTTTAGTATAAGTTTAGAAGATAAATAGGTGCACGGCTGTAGAACGTGCACGTTATAGTCTTAATTTATTGGATCTCTCCGAAAGAAGGTTAAGGAAGAAGGTTACAGAAGATGAGAGAACTCAATGGAAAACCATTTATATCTATAACGTAGCAATCGACAGAGATACCATGAAAGGAGCGATTAGAAGGAGGTTAACTGTGAGAATAGTTTTGAGACTTGTCAGATAACGCAGAACTTGAAGACAGACGAGATGCGATTTTAAAGATGAATTAATTAAGAAAAAAAAAAAGAAGAAAAAGAAGGAAAATCGGGGTTATGCAATCGTTGAAACGCAAGAAACAAATTTGCGAGAATATAAATAGGAATGAAAAAAATAATATGGAGAAAGTTAGGTCGTTTAATCCGAATGAAATGTAACAGATAAATATACGAGATGCGAATAAACATCATAAACAAAATAAAAAGGAGGAGTTTCGCTCGTTGAATTTTAATAATTACATTTAATTGCAACTATATCTCTTTCGTAGACGTTGGAAAAAGTGTTCGGCTCTTAAATAATCTCTACAAATGTGGAATAATTAAGAGAAAAGGAGCTGCAGTCTGCTCGAAACTGGCCTGAAATTTGCATACGTTCTTTATACGTGTCTCTCGAACGCTTTCGTGAATTTTTTTTGCCTATAAATATTCTCAAACAGATTTCTGAATATTTTAGCGATATCGGTTACATTTTTAGCATTATTTTTCGAGTTACTATTTTTGACTCTATCTTTCCAATGATCTATCGATATTTATCTTTACAATTGTTTTTCGAAATATCTTTTTCCTGTTCGACGAAGATCTCCGGATTTGAGCCTGTAGCCAGAGATATCGATTCGAGCGGCAGTGGAAGATAATAAATCACGTTCGAGAATGACACGTTCGGATTATCGAAGATTTACTCTGCCGCTATATAACTGGAAGGTTTGGTAGTTTCTAAAAATTTGTCCGCCCGATAATTTTGTGTTTTTCGTTGAAATATTTCCTATCCGTAAATCTTCGTTTTGTATCGTGTTTTTCGGATTACGATAGAAGAAGAAGTATCGAATTTTGAGCTGCTCCGTCTACTTCTCTTGTCCCTAAATCTTCCTCGTTAAATCTAACGTACAGAACAGGGAGAACTTATCAACGCGCGCCCTATTTTCCTCACCATGTAATATATTCCAAACTGAATCTCGCCATCTTCGCTTTAGAACGTGCATGCTCTGTGTACATGCCTCGTCCCTTCAACGAAATGTTCATTTGGAAAACATCTCAAGTAGATCTCCTTTACCGCGTAATCATCCGCACCGCGTAAAGCAAACTTTATCAATTTTTAACATGTACCTTTCCTCTCGAAAGCTCAAGTGCCCTTTTCTTTCATATTCGTAAATCACTCGCCGTTAAAGAGCCACGGAACTTCTCCAAACACGTGTACCTCCCCAATTTCGCCTCTCGAGCCAAACGACAGTTCCACGAAGCATCATCGACGTCGGGATCAATCGCCGTAAACACGTTCGACGACTGGTTATCTTCATCCCAAAGCCTTTCAATTCCCCTCCTTTGTAACGTACCTTGGACGCGAACACGACGAATCCAGAAGACAACAATGGCCCATCTGTCCACTACGTGCCCTTCTCCGCGCTCCTCGCTGGCAGTCGCAGATAAAATCGATAAGATTTCTGGTGCAGAAAGAGGGAAAGGCGGCTTGTCCGTGGAAGCTGACGCGCGACAAACGCATAATACACTCGCGGCGCTCTATGAATCGGAAGTGAGCTTATTATTAGGCCACGCTCTGCGAATAGTCCGCACCTTGACGAGACGAAATAATAATGGCGCTTATAAATTCTGTAGCGTTCGAAGCGCGCCTCGACCGGATTCATCGAGGATTTTGATGCATCGCCAGTCGCTTTGGAACTTGATGTGGAATTTTAAATTTAGAATATTATCATTTCAATTTTCCTCGTTTCGTCGTATTTGTCTGTACATGATTTTGTAGATTTAGAAGCGATGATTTGAATTCGATGGCATTTGGGAACAGAAGCTGAGAGTTGGATTTTAAATAATACGTTTCATGTTATTCGCTTTTATTAAGTATCGTACAGTGTATTTCAATGTCAACCATCTATTTTGTCAAGTTTTTATCTAACTGTTTGATAATTCTTCGCTTTTGTCAGATTCTCTTCGTATATTTGGGTGGCGTTTGGAAAACAGTCGAACGCGATTTATAACGTGGCAAGGATTTAGCGACGATTATTTAGCGAAAGTCAAATGGCCGGAGGAAGAGTTTTCGAAGAAACTTGCCGCGTGGCAACAATCGAAAGCATTGTCTCCCGAAAACGTTTCGGCGGGAGATCAGCCGAATACCGAGTTGTTCGTGGCATACATCAAAATCAAACGGTTTCTATTTATACGTTTTATAACAGCGTGCAACGGCGACGGCTTCGATCGGACACCTGTTTCCATTCAAACAAACTCGGTTCTTCGATTATTATTTCAATCCGTTGCATCGCCCCTCGAGCTTTACATAAGCGCGCACTGATTACGTATTCGATCGGTGTGTTGCACTCGACCGATTATTTTCAAGAGTTTGCAGAACGATTTTTACCGATCGTTACAGCTTTCCGTTGCATCTTCGGTTCTCGATCTTTTGTTTTTTTTTTTTTTAAACTTTCGATGGAAGTTCGTTCTCGAAGAATCTTCGAACCTTCGAAATAAATCTTCTACATTCTAATTTCTGAAATTTTTATCATCCGATAGTACGTGATATCTGTCGGACGTAGTTATTTTAAAGTTGCAGCTAAATTTCACACTATACATCTATATACGATAGATTTTTGAGAATGGAATGGAATAATAAAACGAGGAAGGAAAGCTCTCCGACAGTTGGAAAATCGTAGAACGAACTTAACAGGAACGAAGATTAATTAGTACCGATTATTTGAAGTAGCATTTCGGTTAAACGAATCGAGTACTTGACGTAATTTAAAGAAATATTTCTATGTCTTTCGTGTCATAATATCGTATTGTGCAGATATTTTTACATCACGAGAATAGATTCTTGGAACGCTTGAAACTCTCTTGCAAAAATATATTAGTATAATAATAAAAAAAAAAAAGGAAGAGAAAATCGTAGAATGTTTTAGTGTGTTCTAATAAATAACTAAACGACAAGGAAAATAAACATTTAGAGAAATATACTCCTCGTTATAATTTTTCTTAACAATTTTCAACGTTGTATATTAAAACGCTAAAGAAGAAAGAAAGAAAAATAACTATATCTCGGGAAGCGCCATTCGGCGAAGATTGTTTTCACATTTATTTAACTCCGATTGGAGTGTAAAAATGGAAAAAGAGATACATACGTAGGTAGAAGTAGTTAATTAATGGAAATTCGGGCTTAACGCGCAGAATGTATCGCTTTGTTTCGCGATTCCACTCGGCCGACTATTTTCGTAGAGCTCAATTTCAAAATCTAAGCGTTCTTCCTCCTTCCGCTTCGTGGCCTCGATTCGCTGGATTCCTCCACATCCTCTCTATCATCTTCCCGTTTAATCGGTGTGAATAAATACGCGAGGGAAAATGACAAGAGGAAATTAGACCCACACACTCGTTTGTCGTTCGTTTGAAATCGTCGTCCTTTGTTTCCTCCATTTCTGGCTTTTATCTTCTCGTTAAAAGAAACACGGCGAATAGTTGGATTCTTAAAAATGAAATCGCTCACCTTCGTTCGTCAGTTCGTCCGTAGCAAGGAGACGAGATAGATCGCAGCTAATTCAAAGTTTTTACGCGTTTATAGGAAATCAGAAGACAACGATCGTACAGATGTATAAAATATCCATACAATGGTTTCTGTAACAGTCGATAGTCGAAACGATCTTTCACCGAGGTTCTACCGTTTCAATCGTGCTCGAAAAAATTACGAACTTCCATAAGAATTCACCATGTAGCTGTCACTTTCTTCTACCTTTCGATCTTTCAAGCTGTTCGACGTGACTTCTGAGTGGCTCGTGTATCCCTGACTCGTTTTCCCGTGGCAGCATATAGGTCAGTGGGTATATACGTTGCTCGGCTGGTTTGGCCACGAACCGACGAATCCGTAGGAGACCAGATCCGGTCCGAGGAAGTGGACTTTTTGGTCGGCGGATGCCAGGCCGAGGAGGCCCGCGAGGACCACTTGGAAGATGGTGGAGTGGCGAAGGAACCGTAGAAGGTTGCGAAGGAGGAGTTGCAAGGGCATTAGGCTCCGAATACGGAACGATAAAATTCTTACGAAACGCCACGTTATTTCCCTCTCTGTTGTTCCATCTTTTCGTCTTTCATACTCTCGTGCATCGAACTGGCACTCTCACAAAACGAGAGGCAGAAACGTCGGAGGTAGAGGGAGGATCCTCGTGCGTTGTGGAGAGGAGGTTGGGCAACTGGAAACGAGCCGGTGGCCGAAGAATTCGACGCTCGAAAACAAACCTCCGCTGGAGGACGCGTTTCGTTTTAGAGGACACGCCAGACACACGACGCGGAGCCGTCCGCGCGTCAAAATGTATTTTTGACGGCCGTTTGACAAGCTTTTAACGTTCCCCTTCCTGGCCTCCTCTTCTTCTTCGTCCGCCTCCTTTCCGCCTCCACGCAACGATGGATTTTCGCGCGTCCTGCGTGCCGCTTCTGTGCCTCGTTATTTTTGCGAATCGTGTTACGTAAGCGTGTGCGCTGCCTCTGGAAAGGTTACCGGAAAGTGACAGGTTCTGTGGCCGAGATAACGAGCAGGAGAACTGAAACTTTTTGAGGATATGCGAGCTGAAACGAGGCGCGAGTACGTTTCGCTTTGCAACTTCCTGCGACGAGGTTTGTAGTGGTTTTCGATTCGCATTTTCTCTGCATCTATGTGATTTTTTTGGGAATATGAAATTTAGTTTAGAAACTGAAACTAAAATCACTTGCTGCGACCAAGTTCCTGCAAGTTGACGCGCTGCAGATTCCGAGATCATTTTTTCGTATTTGCACGTTTCTCGTGTTTCGAGCGTATGCTGTATTTGTCTTACGTAGGTTTGAGAATATTTCGCGACTTTTAGAAATTTCTTAATTGATCATTTTCAGCGCGATTCACGACGAATGTCGAGTTAAAATACTCTATCCTCTGACAGCTGATCGAAAACTGGTCGCGCTTCAGCTAATCGATAAGGATCTTGAGTTTCCGGTTTCGTTATCAACGTTTCGCGATTCGGTTTGAATTCCTCTTTGTTCCCGCATTGATTCGAGCTCAATAGCCACGCTTTCAAGGACGTATCAATAAACTTCTCGTTCCCCGGAAAGGAGACTGCACAATAAGGGGAATAGAGATCCAGTTAGCTCCAGTAAACCATCGTTGAATCGTCGCTGAACGCGCGTGGAAATATGCTAATTCGTTTCTACAAATTAACCAACTACTATTTTACTTTTCCATGTATCGGCGAGTCACGTTGTTTGTTAAACTCTTAACGTTTACACGTGTAGATGGCGAATATACGTGGTTCTCGAGCATCGCATCGTGAGTTACTTGGAATCATTTTTCCGAAAAGCTCGTAATCGTAAATCGAGTAAAATCGAGTCTTTAATCATTTTTGTGACATTAATTTCGAGTAAAAATTAAAAGTCGTTGAACAAATTTCCAGAATAATTCGTATGAAACGTTTGAAAAAATTCATGAAAGAAAATTTCGTAATAATATACACGAAGTATATGAAAAAAGAATTATGTAGAAAAGAAAAAGTATAATAACTCGTGTAAAGCTCATCGTATATAAAATTCCACGATACAAAGATAGATTTTGCGTGATATACGTGTTCGTTTGTATATATAATGACAGATAATGGAAATCCTATGTACATTCGGCTGTGTTAAATTAATAATAAATTCGATTGTAAAAACCATTCAAGATAATGGCAAGTTTCCGTTACCTCTGTTCTTTTCTAATTAATTGGAAGTCCGGGAAAAACCGCAATCAAGGATGTTGCAGTTATCAGGCGTTCGAAATTCCTCCGAGAATGGTAGAAAGAACGTAACGGGCAAACTGTTGAGATTTCGTTTCATTTTTGCCAAAACTCTCTCTTTCTCTCTCTCTCTCTCTCTCTCTCTCTGGAAATACATTCGATCAAAGATAAAGCAAACAGAAATGAGAAACAATCGGATCTGACTTTTGTATTTTTATGTTTCGTAGGTATTCTCCTCGTTCCCTTTATTTTTCAATTATTCCATTGAATAATTCCACGAAATTACAAGAAGACCGGCGCACTTGTTTGTCGATCGAGCGTGAGAAAAGATCGCTTTTCTTTTGTTTCCGACGGAAATAATTATTTAAAGAAGTGAGCGGAGTCGTTAACGCCATAAGATCCTGCGATAAGCTCCACGTACACAAGTAACGTTTATTAAAAAGAAGTGCTTCGAATTATTTCACGATTGTTTACGATTTGCAAATAGAGGAAGGAAATTCCGAAATCTGCGTTCCGTCCTTGTTCGTTGTTAATCGTTCGATAGGATCTAGAATCGATACGAAGAATAAATCTTTCCAACGTGATTAACAGATTTTCGAAATCGTTTCGCGGATTATGATAAAACCGATATGTATCCATTTCATAGCCATCTCTAAGCATTCGACAAATTGGTATATACTCGTCGACTTCGTCGAGAAACGTAACGCTATGAGAAACTCGAATGCCATAAAGAGACTTCGTTCGCTTCCAACCAGCTCGAACCATCAAACCGCACATCCGCACTCTTAATCTCTGTTCTTGTTCCAGGTTAAATGGTAATCTAAATCGACCATGTACAACCTGAATCTGAACGTGAACCCTAGTCCGACGGCTGCCGCGGGTCTTCTCGGTGTCGCGGCGGCCGAGGTCACACCAAGGACACCGGAAATCGTAAACTCCCTAATCGCCATGACCAATCCCTTCGAGGGTTACACGAACGAGAGGAGCAGGGACCGTACGGATTCGACTAGTAGCGGTGAGCCGAGCCCACCGAGCGTTCAGCACACCTGTAGTCAGCTCATTAAAGAAGGTAGCCATCCGGTGGTGGCCTTGATAATATATCCTACAGGGTCCTCTCTTGTTGCCGAATTTCTTGCTCTTCTTCTTTCCTTTTACCGTCGAAACTCGCTATATATCCAAGGTTATCCGGGATTATCGGTAGCGATTCTGGTTTTCTAGGGACAGTACCGCGCAGAGAGTCTTGAACTTTCTACGATCGTAATCCTAATAACGGTAATTAATCGTATTTTTATCGATCTTTAGACATTTCCTTCGTGATGCTACTCGGTTGCCGTGTTTCTCTGGTTTTCAAATTTTGTGCAGATACTCGAGCGAGATAAATTAACTTGCGTTATAAATGGGACGATTTAAAAAATAGGCCGTCAGAAAGGTGCTAGTCAGAAAACGAAAATGAGTTGTTCGCAGTGTTTAAAGCGGAACGGTAGATAATGGTAAAAATACGGATAGCGGAAAATTGGAGAAAAATAATTGTCGAAAAAGTAGAGAGTCGTATTCGTAAAAACAAAACATTTTCGTTTGATGGATTTTTAGGAATGGCTGGAAAAAAGCAGAAAGATCGAAGGAACGTTCAGACAAGATCGATATTATTGTCAATACCTAAAGTTCTCGACATTGCAGTGGCTTTTACGTACGATAATGTTGAAAACTTCAAATATTGACAATGATATATTGATCGGTCGAACGGTCGTTAGGAATATTTTGGTGAGCGATACTTTATATTCCAAAAGTCTTATTTTATCGTTTTTAGTAATGATTTAGGCGATTAACTGGTATTTGAACATCACAGGATTGAAGTTGACGCTGCAAACAAAAAGGAGAGCCAACGGGACCGGGGACGACACGAAAAAGAAGACAAAGAAGGAAGACGGGAGCGCAGACGACGAGGAAGAGGAGGAAGCGAGCAACAACAACAACCGCGGTGGAGTAAGAAACCTTCACATACTGTTCTCGTTAATACGATAAAGCAGTCGTGATGTTGGGCGATCCGCGCTGTAAGTCGCCGTTTCATCGATTTCACGGGTTTTCAAGTCAGACCGGATATACTCATTCCATCCAGTTCTCTATCAGTTACTGCTCTCATCAAGAACTCAAACGCTACACCATAAAATAAATTACTTTCATACAGCTGTTCTTTATAAATGTATAAGGTACTGTGCAAAACTCTTCGGCTACTTGGTAAACGAAAATGCTCTGCCTTTAGAAATTAAGAAATTGCTTCTTAAGAAATATTTGATTTAAGGATTACGTATTAATAATTCAACCAAAGATATTGATCAATCTGTAGCGTATTAAAATAAAGAAAATATTTAAAGAGATAATCTTAAAACCATAGGTTGTTCTTAACGTCGTATGGAAATATTTCCTAGAAATATCAATTGCTATTGCGAGGTCGTTAAATAGCCTAAAGCTTTTGCACATTGCTGTACTAAAAAGATCTCTAACGATAAGACAAGGCTAGAATTGTTCTTAAAGATCTAAAATTTTTGTAGCTAACTCCAGAGGACGAGGAAAGGCGCCGAAGGAGACGCGAGAGGAACAAGATAGCCGCTACCAAATGTCGATTGAAGAAACGCGAGAAGACAGTGACCTTGGTGCAGGAATCAGAGATCCTGGAAACGCAGAACCACGACCTGAAGTCGCAGATTCAGGAGCTGGAAACGCAGAGGCGCAGGCTAGTAGACATGTTGAGTCTCCATGGACCAACTTGCTTGAAGCAAGGTGGCACAGATACCTCGTACCAACAGTTTGCAGAACCTTTGCAGCTGCCCAGTTACCAGGAGAACTTTGTGCAGCCTCCGCCAGCATTGAATCAGCCTCAAAACTGTGTGACAGAATATCCGGTAAAGGTGGAAGAGTACGAGGGTGACTTTTATCGACAAGAAAGTCCCTTCGTGCCAACTTCAAACGCTGGTTGTACGGTTTAGTAGCTTTATGGACGTTCTAAAAACGTCTACCGCGCCATTTTCAGGAGTAGTCCTTGTGAAGATTCGGTTTACCGGTTGACGAATATGGTACGTTGTTCGGTTAAGAATCTAGGATCGTCTAACGATGAAAGAACAGTCGTATGCATTCCAAGAAGACGCAAAAAAGCGAAAATACCTATGTCGGTTAGCGGAAACGTCGTCTTGAAGACGATTTAGGAGTTTCGAACGAGATTTCGAGATTATTCTGGGTCCTTTTGCATCCTACTGAACTAGTATCATTAGAAGGATATTAAAAGTCACAAGTTACAAATTATCAATACCAAAATTGCTTTTCATCTATAACTTATAAAGGAAATTTTATAAATTAGAGATTATTCGATTATTTTATTTGCCGAAAGAATTGTAAAATTGTAAAGAAGAAATCTGTAACTGTAACTTATCATTTGTCATTTCATTAGTCAGCGATATTATTAGTTAGTAGATTATTACAAGAAACGACCCTGATCTCTTTCTTAATACTTCCGGTAGACCGAATCTTTTGGATCTCTCATCTCTGTTAATCGCAAGTCTGTAGTTCGTAAGTTGATTACTGTAATAACGGTGCGCTCCTGTCTT